GTTCGTTGCACTTCATTGTCGTTTGGCGCGACTCACCCGAGTGTATGATCGATTTGAAGGAGAGGTTACATCTCTGTGTGTCAAAGGGGAACTTGTAAATGTTCATGCGACACATGCTGAACAGCACTTGGTCATTCGTGACCTCCACCAGGCCGTCGGCGCTGATGGTGACGTACAGATTCGGCGGGGCTTTGTCCTTCTCTGCCCTGGAGCGAGACATTTTGAGTTGGTGGCATGTTGAGCTGGACCCGAAGGACGCTTTGGCACTTACATCTCCTCGATGGTGAGATCCGGCTTCCACAGAATTCCAACGGGAATGGACACATTATTGATCCCGCAGAACTCTTGGGGATCCCAGGAGATGTATTCGTTGTGCCACCTCTGAAAACCACAAAAAAAGCTTTTAACTCATGTGCCTTGCTTGAATGATCTATTTTGTCTTCTTTGACTGCATGAGGGTTTTCAGTAATCAACATCAGCTATTGTTATTAATCCTTTCATGCACCCTGCAACCTGATCACGAATGCACCGATAGGTGGTCTGCTAACCACCAATGGACCCCCACAGAAGAACAATAAGGAAAAGAGAATACATTCAGTACAGTTGTGCCATCATTTTTTTCTCCACGAAGCAGAACTCACCGTGACGGTCCAGACGTAAGGAACGAACTTCTGCTCCTTCTCCACCTGGAAAGTGGCCATGTCATTTGAATACTTTTCGACGAGAACGCCAACTACAGTCAACATAAGTGTAAGGAACATTTACCACATTGAGGATAGCGTACAGCAGCACCTCCAGGGACACGTGAGTCGGCCTCTTGTAGTACTTGACGGGCCGCGTCATGGAGAAGAGCTCGTTGGTTCGAGTCAGGCCCAGGTGGTTTAAGACATCCTGGTAACTGCAGCCCGCTGGCTCCGATGCCATGGCGTCTGCTAAAATGGATAATACAACCAACATCCTTGCCTTGAGATATGAGTGAGCAGACTTTGAAGGCTACGACTGTTTTTTTTTTTT